CCTGTGCTCTGAGCTCCCTACCTTCCCTCTCTCCTTCCCCTTAATGGGGGGATTAAGCTGGGTGACTGGGCAGTTAGTTCAGTGTTGACCATTTCTTGGTTATCATCATCAAGTGCCTTTTTATAAAATCTCTGTCTTTTTGGCAGAAAAAGGATGAGATACAGAAGTCAGTTTCTTATACTCCAGGGTCTTAGCATGAATAATCCCAAGAATAACTGGCATTTCTAAACAGATGAATTATAAAAATAACAAACTCATAGCTAAGGAGCAGCCTCCTCGTGTGTGTGTGTGTGTTCTAGAAGGTTTTGTAGCATCCTGGAATATTAGAATTGGGAGGGACTGAAGAAGTTCCATTGCTTTTTCTCTGTCTTGACCCATAGGTCTTTTAATAACATCTACCTCATTTGCCAACTCCACTTTCATATATTCAGTAACATCCTGTTCCCTTTTCGGACAGATTCTGTTAAGCAAATATGGATATGCCTTATATTACACCGGAATCTATCTTCTTGTCACCTTCAGGACCCCTTGGAACAATGTAGAGATCCCTCTTCCCTGAGGACCTCAGGTATTGCTGGAACAGCTTCTTACTGTGCCTGGAGCTGCAGCTTCTCACCTGCCTTTATCACCATTCCAGAGAGCCCTCTGATGGATGGTAAAGGAAGCTGCCTCCTTGAATACTCACCATCTGCCCCCCCTCTTGAGTCTCCTCTGACCACAGAACACTGCCCTTCCCCTCCGTCCCGGCCAAGACTTGTTACCTAGTCATCTTTTTCCTCATTTTCTTCCTCTTTATTTATATTTGACTATTTGATAAGATGTTTGCAACAGGCCCCAGAAGAGTTCAGTCATTTACTAATGAAATAACATTTTATGATTCCCACTAATGGGCATCTAGCATCTCTGTCCCTTTGCCTCTTTCTCATGGCACTACCAACCTTTCCACTAACCTTGAAGTCCTGGAATCTCAGTGTTGTTTATCTCTTCCTGTTCCTGCTCTTTGCTATCTAATGGGGGTGCCACACCTTGCACATTCTTACCTTTTTGTCTTCCTGTGACTCCAACTCTAGCCTCAGCCCTGGGGCATCTTAGGCTTGTGTTATTGTGGTGGTTTCTTCCCTTCCTTCCTTGCCTTTTCATTTACTACTGCTGTGACTTTGGGGAAGTGCCTTTTCCCATCAGTAAAATGGGGCTGGTAAGAGTTCCTATCTCATGGGGTTGTTTGGAGGGATAAACAGGATGCTTAGACCAGTGTCTGGCACATAGTAGGGGCTATGGGAGTGGTAGCTGTGAATATTATTATTACTGGCCCCCTCCAATCCTTTGCCAGATGTACCATCCCAAAACATTCTTTTCCCTAGGCCTGCCTCTGCTCAAAAGTCTGCAGTCTCCCCACAGTCTGTTTAGCAGTAGTCCCTAACGTGAGCATGCAAGATGAATTGCCAGAGTGTGGGAAGAGAAAATTATGACTACTTTTATGTTTTTATCTCATTTTTGTAAACTTTCTACTTTTTGAGTATATCTTACACTATATATTTTTGGATATTTATATTCAAGATGTATATAATACAAGTGCCTATTTTCATAAATAAATGAATATACATATATCAGTGGTATGTTAAAAAATGTTACTAATAGGGGAGTGCAAGCAAACAGTGAAGGAGCCCTGGTCTGGAAGGGGAGATCCATTCCCCAAGCCTGGCATTTCTCTGTGCTGGCCCCAGCCTGGTAGTCCTGACTTGCCTCCCAGTCTCCCTTCCTTGTGACCCTCACTCTCTCTCCATCTGCTCCACCTTTGTATTTCGATTTCTGTCATTGCTCATCCTCTCCCCACCCCAAGGAGATTCTCGCTTATTCTCTCATTTTCTTTTCCTATCTGGAAGTTCACCTTAAATGCCACTTGTTCCATCAAGCTTTCCAGGACAAGTCTAGCTTGAAATGTTCCCTTAAGCATTCTTCGTCACACTGCTCATCGGACCCCTATTGTTGTCTACTTTAGGACCATTGCCATGGCATTTCTCGCCGCTGCGGTGGTTCAGTGTTTATTCTCACAGGGAATTAACATGGAGTTTAAATTACCGTTTACTTGCTGACTTTATTTTGATCTGTTGGTCATCTCTGTCGTTTATCTGAAGACACATACTTGTACTTTTCAGATGACCATTAATGTATATCTCTTATTATAGTTATATATGATTCTTTAAGGAAGAGATTCTTTCTTACAATTGTAATCTGAATCTCCTTGGATTTGACAGCATGCTTCAGCTTGAGGCAGACATTTATTAACAGTGTATTTATTCACAGTGCAGTAAGGGAATGTTTTGTATGTGTGGATTCATTGTTTTCTTTTACTCCAGGTGACCTAAAATCATAATCCTTGGGTTTAATGCCTGTATTTCAACACTTGTATTCCTGAGTTCTGCGTGGCCTCCTGGGAAGTGAGGAAAGCTGGATGGTATACAGGGCATATCCCTTTGATCTAGGTTTTCTCTCTCCTCAAACACTGTAAGCACGGCTCTTTTATCAGCCACTTTCATTGGTTTGTGACAGCATCTGTGTAATCCTTGGTGCTACCTTGGGTCTTGAATTCAGAAGACACAGATTTAAATCTAAATTCCACCACTTGCTGGTTGTTTGTACCTGATCAAGTTGTTTAATGTCATAAGTTTAATAATCTATACTTCACAGAATTATTAGGATTAATTGAGATAGTGTCTATGAATGTAATGTGCTGGACACCTAGGAGGTGGCCAACAACTATCTGTTTAAAAGAGTCTCCTCTGTCCCCTGTGAGCCTTCTGATGCAGAAGATATTTTGGGGAGAAACAGGCAGCCTTAGAGAGTACACCTACCTGACTGAGCAAACTTAGGTTAGAAACCCAAGGGTGGACTTGCCTGGTTTCTGGGCTTGTCTCTAATAGAATGCCTATGGCCTCCCCAGGGAGCATGAGGATTAATTAGTTAATCTTTGTAAAGTGCTTTGAAGGTGAAAAGTGCTATGTTAGTGGAATGGTTGAATGCTATTGGAGATATAATAATGGTGGCACCATGTTCTGGCAGTCTTGCCTGTCTTGGACATCAATAATCAATAGGAGAGAAGGTTCTAAGATGTTTAAGAAAGGATTTGCTAAGAAAGGATTCATTGTGGGATTTGTGATACCGTAATTCTGCAGTCATGTAGATAGCAGCTTGCTAGGTCATCCCGGCAGAAGAATGCTAGGGGGTCATTTAAGAAATAACAATCTCATCCTCTGGCTTCTTGGGACTCTCCCAGCTAAGGCAGTCTGGTGAGACTAGCCAGCTCAAGTAGAGGGATAGTTTGCCAGTTTGGATGTTTAGTGGGTTCTGGGTGCATGACTTTTTTGGTCTAATCCTACAGAAGCAGAGGAAGAGTGTTGAGTGGTTATCCAGTGATGTGGACCAGTGTGAATAAACAGTGCAGAGTGGTACCATGGCCTAACAGAAGGAGATGTGGCTTAGCTGTGTGACCCTGGATGAGTCACTTCTGTGAACCTTAATTTTCTCACCTGTTAAATGGGAACATAGTAGTTGATGAGTGCGGTAGTAAAGGTGGCACACAGAAGCATGGTTTTCACCCTTTCTGTGGAAAACTGGAGTCAAGAAAGGTTTCACAGAGCTGGGGTACATGAGCTGGGCTGTAAAGGTTGAGCTGTAGTTTATCAGATGATTAGTATGAGGAAGGGCATCCATGGCAAAGGGAACATTATGTGCAAGGCCACAAAATAACACATCTGAATGGACTCACTCCCAGTTTTTAAAATATACCTGGTACTCCATGGTGCTGCACAGACTCTGTTCCCTCTTTGAGGAAGCTTGAAAGTCAGATTTCTGTGAACTTCTTGGTATCTACATTGGTGTCTGTGAGCAGACTGATCCTGAAAAGTACCCTGCAGAACCCTGTATCTCTGTAATAGTCTGACATTTCCTCCGTGAGTCTTTGGTTGCTTTTTAGCTGACACTATCAACCATATGTTAAATGTGGGGCCAGATGAAGGTTTGATACTAAACAGATTATGTAGTAGATTTGTCTAGAGTTTAATATGCATTACTTGTTTTGTCTCTTAAGCAAAGTTTTTCTTTGTTAAAATAAACATGTATAAAGAATTTATACAACGCACATGGTTATGCATATTTATTGCAGGGAATCTGTTAATAATCTATGCCTCATCGGATTTTGCATTTCTGTTGAAATAACAAATACAGCACTTGGTACAACTGAATGAATTCAGGGAATTTTTTCTTTCTGAGAAAAGAACGGCCATTTCTCTTTTTCCAAGCTTCATTTTCTTCAATCTTCTTAGCACTGGCCAGCTTCCCAGGTGGTCCATCTGGGGGACTAAATGCTTTTCTGGGTCTAAATGACTTTGTTTTTCTTCCTTCTTTTGCTCCTTTCCCTCTTGCACACTTGCCTTGGGACTGATAGCATTGTTTTGGCCAGAGTGTAACTCTGAAAGGTCTCTTATGGAGGACCTTACATGGAGGGGAGAGCTCATGAAACTGGCCATTGATTGAGCTAAGAGGAGGGCCTAAGAGATTGTGGCATGGGGCAAGTCAGGAGCTTGGGGAACTTCAAGGTGGCTGAGAGCCCTGGTTGGGTGGGTGAGGGAGGTTAGGCTGAGAACCATCTCTGGGAAAAGTGCGGGGAGACTGTAGGGAGGGCACAAAGTGTGGCTGAAGTGTTCTCTGTAGTTGTGCCCATCTGCTAAAATGCAGGAGTGTAGGCATTAGAATCAGCCTCTGTTGGAATTCAGCTCTGGTACTCACCACTTGTTTGATCCTGGTCAGGTCATTTACCCTCTCTGAACCCTAGTTTCTCCATCTGTAAAAAATGTGATTACTTGGGCTTCTGTTACAGAAAGCTCCTGGTACATGGTAGCTGGTATTAAATAAATGTTCACACCTTTTCTGGTAGTTCATTGCCTACCCATGAGAGCACAGCTATGGAATATAGCCTTAATTCAAATAATCTTTGTTTTTAGAAACTGGCAAGGTGTTTACTTGGGGCCGCGCGGACTATGGTCAACTAGGGAGAAAGTTGGAGCCACATGAAGTCTGGAAACCACAAAAGCAGGATTCATCTCTGCCTTGCTCAAGACCACAGAAGAGCATGCCTTCACCTCTGCATTGCTTAATGGGAGCAACTGAGGTAAGAGGTGATTTTCCATAGATGTGATGTATCTCTTCCTTGTCTTTCAGTGAAGCATTTACTGAAGGCCTACTGTGTCCTTATAGTCCAGGCATTATGGTAGGTTCTACCTAGCAATCTGAAGGGGTCCTGGCCTCAAGTTGCTCATGATTTAATATGTAGGAAAGCCAGTTACCCAGATACCTCTACTGCAAGGCCGACTCTGTATCGCTCGTTTAGAGAAGTTCCAGTACTCTGGGTCCATTTCAAATAATGAGAAATGAATTCAGTATACAGGCATTGGGTTAGGCTTTGAGGAAGACGGCTTTGAGCTGTGCCTTGGAGGATGGGTCAGACTTGAGCAAGCAGCTATAAAGTAGGCAGAACAGCTTGAACAGAGTCACAGGGGTAGGGAAGTGAAGAAAGTGTTCAGGGGAATCCCTGGTGATTCATTTGGCTGCACATAGGATGCCTATGGGGGTGAATATGAGGTAATATCAGAAAGATGGGTTGGAACCTGATCAAGGTGGCCTTTAATACTGAGTTAAGTATTTTGCACTTCTGTTTATATTTCCCAGTGTAGAAAACATTGTAGTTTCAGTGTTTATTCAAGCCTGTTTAGTTCCCTGAAATGTCTTGAATTTCTGCATTTAAGGCAGGAATCTTAATTTCTCCAGGGTGTGTGTTTCTGTTACTAAATTTTCCTTTACTGATGTCCTTAAAAAAAGAAAAGGCTAGGTTTTTGAGAAGAATGAGGATGGCCACATAGGAAATGTGCCTCTGAACCCAAGTTGGCTTAATGAAGGAATTCAGACTTCATTCAGAGTCTGTCAAGAAAATTAATAAGCTAGTGAGGCCTCTTCTGTAATTAGCAACAGACTAATTACAACCCTCTTCTTACCTAGAGGGCTTCCCTTCCCCTGGGGCTTGCCTGGCCTCCTCCTTCTGGGTATGTAGGACGGTTCTCAATTTCGGATTCACCTGAGCCCTGGTCCTCTTGGGCCTTTCCTTAGTCCTGAGCTGAGTCTGTCTGTCTTCCTCTCTCTCTCTCTTTTCCTTTAATTGCCAAGACACTAAACAATCCCATACATACAATTTAGACATTGTAATAATAGTAATAATAAAACTATCCATAGTCTTACCACCCTAACAATAACAGCCTTTTTGCATATACACATGTACATACTTTACAAAGCTATAGCAATAGCATTTATAATGTTTGTATTCAATCTTCATTTATTGATGGCAAATGCTTTGCTTTGTTTCTTCTTGGTCTTGAAGATCATTTAAAATGACCACATAACATTATTTCATTTGCAGGTTCTGGGATTTTCCAAACAATTCTTTGAATGTTGGACATTTAGATCATTTCCTTTTTTTTTTTTGTCACTCTGGTGTATACTCTGTTGAACTATTTCTTTAAGATATGGTCTTGGGGATGAAATTTCAGGTCAAAGGCCATGAATATCTTTTTGACTTTTGCTGTATTTCTCTAGATTCTGTTTGAAAGAAGTTGACCTCACCAGCAATAAATGAAGGAATGCAGTATTTAAACTAGTATTATCAGCTTGGTCAGTTAAAATGTTGAAAGCTTGGTATGTAGTGCTTTAGACTCTTTACCTTTTCGTTGTCTTTCCCAGAACATTAAAGACTCTGTGCTCTGGTCGCATAGCAGAGGCACAGAGACTTCATGAAGTTTTCTGAGTGTCTGGTTTTATTGGCAAGATGAGGATCATACCTACCACAGAAGGTCATCAATGAGGATTACACACCAAGTTCCTGGCATGCAGCAGGGGCTTATTAACTGTTGGGTCCTTTCTCTTCTTCCCCCTTCAAGTTTTTTAGTGCCCTGTGGTGGCTACAGTGTGCAGCACCGTGATGGACTCGGCTAGTGCAAACAGAGCTGAAGAGCCTGACACTGGTGTGATTTCTCTTTAGCTTCTTAGTGGAGCAGTGTGAGGAGCTGGTTTGAGCCTTAAGCTCCATGGCAGCTTCATTGTAGTGCTCCCCTTCATCTCTGCTCCAGCCTCTGGGGTACTGGTCTGTATACTTGCTGGTCTCTTCTACAGTTCAGACTTTAGGCTGTTTCCTGTTTGTAAATTGGGTCTAGGAATTATCTCCACTGTTTATGTCCAGGTCTGTCTTGTCAGGCATCTATTTGCCTGAGACCCAGAGTCAGGCCAGTGGGCAGCTATAAGCTGCTACATATGGATTCACCTTGCAAAGACAAGAGCCATACTAACTAGGTGTTGTCCTGGCAGGGGCTTGGCCAGGCAGATGCAGAGACACCTGAGGAGACAGGAACAGCCTTGAACTGTGCTGTTGATTGCTGACTTTCAAGGACCTGAGTATGGCCCATGAGAGATGGGAGAGGGAGGAGCAAAATATCTCCTCAGGTGGGATGTCTGCCCAGAAAGGTCCAGAAGGACAGCCAAGCAGGGAAAGCACAGGTAAAGAGAGTTGGATTGTGGTGCAACCATTCCTTCCCATGAACAGAAGAAGGCAGATAAACAGAAGGCCCCTTGGTGGTTATTACGGGCCAGGTAGCATGCTAAATACTTTCCACAGGTAATTTCTTCTTCACAATAAACCTGGGGACAGGTGTTAATAATTACTGCTTTATGAACCAGGAGACTAAGGCTCAAAATGGGTAAGTCACAGGCCCCAAATCAAACAGTAAGTTAATAGCCCAGAACTTGGACTTGAATTACTTGAAGCTCACATACTTTCTGTAGGTAAAATAAAATTACATATGTCCTTTTGCATATGTACCATTACCTGGATGAAAGTTCTGGAAGTCTGGGAGTCAGGGTCTCTGATTCATTCTTCTGAGCCACATCTTCTCTAGCCTGAGAAAGACTTTGAGATTTTACATCTGGCAGGTTTTTCTTTAATGTTCTTGTGAAGTTTAATGTTCATAGGCAAAGCTCTGTGTTTCATGCCCTATCAGCTTTGTCTTAGACATTTACCACTCTTGGAAAATTCTGGGGGTGACGCAGTGGTCAGGATCAATCCTCCCATACGCATGTCAGGGAAGGGTGTGTTGGAACAGGTTTGTTTGCTCCTTGACGGCAAACATACACCTCAGCAGCCTTTCACTTTCCAAGCCCAGATGGGGGCAGCTACCTGCATGTTTCCCATGGAACACTGGCTCTAAGCTCTGCAGGAAGGTGGGAGCCTACTTTTCATGGTTGGGCCAGAAGTGCTTGTACTCATTTAGTGAATACACTGGGGCTCCCCATGATTCTGAGGCAGCTTGAGCTGAGCACCTGTTGTGTTAGTGGAACCGTCAGAAAGCCTGCTTGACTGAAGGTAAGCAGCTAAGGTCACCAGGTCTAGGAGTCAGAAGATCTGGGTGCTAGCTTTGGTTCTGCCTTATTGAATTTGGGCAATACTCTATTCCTCCTGAACCTTTTGTTCCCATACATGTAGGTTGGGGATGTTAGATCAGTTGATCCCTAATATTTCTTACAGATCTGAGAGTTCCTTCTATCTCAGATTCTTCTTGCATGGGAATGATCACTACTTAAAATTGTAATGCCCCTGGAGTCCCTCAGTGTCATAACCAAGATCGCTTAACCCCTAGTTGCTGGTTCACTTTGGCAGACCTCGAATGTTAACTAATCTAGAAGTTTCAGGCTTCAGTAGCAGTTGAGCCTTGCTCTGCCTCTTTGCCTTGGCTCTTTTCTGTGGCCTTGTTCCTTGTCCCCAGGGCCTCCTGTTCCAGTTTAGGTCATTGGGACTTAGTATAATGCTCCCACCTGGTCCTCTCAGGACTTACTGTTTATCTTTGACTCTTTTCCCTGCAGCTGTGACCTTATTGCTGGGGACAGGCAGACTCAGGTGACACTGCCTTCCTGGATTCCGTGCTCACCACTCATTTCTCCTGACTCTGTGTGTGTTGTTCCACCTTCCTGCTCTCTTGGATTTACCTCCCTGTTGGTATTTGTGCTCTTGCCCATTCCACTGTCAACCCAGTGAACTTTGGGTGACACCTGCCATGTGAGCACACAGTGGTGGTGGGCAGAGAGGTGGATCCAAAGATAATACATATCTTTTCTCTCAAAGAACTTTTAGGTATATAAATAAATCCTTACTCTGTGGAGTGAAAAGCGCTATTAGAAGTGTGTACAAAAAGCCAAGGGAGCAGTGACAGTGAAATGATTTATTCTGAAGACACTCACAAAAAGAAGTGTTGTTTGAATTGGTTCTTAAAAATGGGTAGGAGTTTTGTCAGGGCAGAAGAACACTGCAGGCAGAGGGATAAACTAAAGCTGTGGATTTAGGTCTACTCTTAACTCCTGGTACATTCTGAACGCCTTCCCATTCCAGTGGTCCAGCCTAGTTTTGCAGTCTGGCTTCCTGTCCAGGCCGCCCTATCCCTGCCCTCCTTCCTTCTGATGGGAGTCCTGTCTGAAGGAAAATAGCTTTTACATCTTGCTATACCACCTCTATGCTATGAAATAGGCCAGAATAGGAATTACTATTCTCATTTTATAATTGAGCAAACTGAAGCTCAGAAGGGCAAGCTAGGAATTAGGAGAAGACCCAAGACTAACTGCCTGATTCCCAGTGTTTCCGAGAGCTCAGTCTGCAGCCGTGGTCCTGAGTCATGTTCCTGGTTTAAACTCTGCCCACGTTTGGTTGAGCACCAGATCCCAGCCAGAGGGCCCAGTGTACATGTACACATGGGTGCACACATGCAGCCATTGGAGCAGAAGCCGGAAATGTGGAAATAAACAAGAGTTGAACTGGTGTTTGAATAACTGTCAAGCCCAAAAGCCATCAGCCCTCATTGTGCTGCAGGACTAAAACTGTTTTTTGGAGGGTCAGCCTGTGCACAGGGTCTAAGTGAAATCTGTCAGAATGAGTGGGAAAGAAGCTATTTTTAGTTTGCAGAGTCACTCGGCTGTGTTAGCTGAGGTTTGAGCCAGTCCCCTCTGCTTTCCACAATATTATTTCTGCAGGAGAAATACCACTTGAATGCTGTGTAAACCCATTAATGAACCTGGAAGTTTCCA